TTGAAATTCGTAATGGATACTACACCCAATGACAAAAAATTGCCTGTGTAGGTCTACGTCTTCGTATAGCCAACATATAACGGTACCTCCCGATATTCGGTATTTTGATGATTTTTGTCACACTTTTTCACGGATTTGTCTGAAAATTGGTATTTGTAGGTCATGAAGGGTTTTAGTTCATGTGGCGTAACATTAGTTCCAACCTTGCTTTCCAAAATACTTCAGACACAATAGTCCAACGGATTGGTATCCGGAGATTTTGGTGGCCATTGTGCGCTGAATATGAAGCGAGGAACCTAATTTTGTAACCATTCTTGGGTGGCGCGTGCTGAGTCCTGTTGGAATGTCCAATGTCTGTGGCCAAAATGTGTTATGTGCCCATGGCTCTAATACACCCTCCAGAATATTTTCGCGATGATATCCGGCATTTATTCTGATGCCACGGTCGATTAATACGAGAGGGGAGCGACCACCGGAAGTTATGGCGGCCCACAACATCACCATGGCCGGCGCCTTCTGGTGGCCAACCGAAGGAGCACATTTTCAGCTGACCTCTTTGGCAAGTAAACACGATCATTTTGTTTGTTTACAATCAGCTGGACAACGAATGTTGTCTCATGGGAGAAAACCAAATTCGGCATTTCACAACTTTCGGCCAACCGAAACAACAATTTAGTCTATGTTCTTTCTGTTGAGGTGTAAATTCTTGCACTTTTCGGAATTTCAATGGCTTTACCCCGAGTTCATTTTTCAATATTTGTCGAATGGAATATTGCGATATGTTCAGCTCACGAGCCATTTTTCGGGCACTGCGACGCGGGTTACGCTGAAGGCAGCTCATTACTTTCCGAACCATTTCTGCTGATGTTGTTGTTTTCTTCTGTCCACTTCCTTGACGTCGGGCTACGCTACCACAATCACGGTAACGAACGATGACACAAAAGATTTATTCACATTTAAATACTGGAGTGCTCTAACGATAACCACTTGTGGTTTTCCAGCCAAATATAAAGAAATCAAACTATCACGCTTTAATTCCATCACGAATAATTTTTTTGTCTGGAAAATTCTCACCAAAATTATTCTGTACGCTTGTAAACAATATAATGAGCTGTCACTGGAATGATTTTAACAGCTGTCGGACGAGTGGCTTAGAAATGACATCAGTCTGAAGTTGGTTGCAGTTTTTTCATCTCACCCTGTATAAGCACTCGAATCAAATACAAAGTTTTTCTCCAGCCCATATGTTACAGAGGTTCGAAAAGGAAAACCACAATTTGATTGAAATAAATTTGAAAAAAATATATACTAACAACTAAATAATTAGCAAAAGGAAATTAAACTCTTACAATAGTCTGAATTGGAATTTTGAGATTTGAGTTATTTTCTTTGAATACTAACCTAATAAATACTTACTTTATTCATAATTCCTCTATCTCTTTCTCTATCTCTCTTCCATACTATCCAATTCCAAAAAAAGTATAAAAAAACTGCAATGATAAAAGTAGTACAATGGGTAGTGAAAATACAAACAAACAACAAAAACTATAAAAATAAATAAATTAGCAAAAAAATAAAAATAAATAAATAAACATATAAACAAGAAACAAATGAATAAAACAAATAAAATATATTTATTAAAATACTAGGTACTTATAAAGGCTGTAATTTTAAGTAAAACAAAACGAGAGCACATCTCAACTTAGTAAAATATAAAATATTACTAACTACCAACACACACACACAAGTAACATCTTCAAATAAAAAGGATGACAAATATACCAAAAAATAGATACTAAATAAAAAATACAAAAATAAACATTCTAATATAACAAAAAGGAAATATTTAAAATAAAAACAAGAATTAAACATAATAATTTCACCGATATATTTAACTAAAGATTAATAAGTCAAATAAATAACAACTCTATACAAACCTAAAGAAAGCAAAAAAAAATGAATAAAAAAAATATTATGTATACACAATATTATATTATAATAATAATTATAACAAAACTGAACTCTACTTATATGTATGTAATGAATATGGACGTAAAAGAAAAACATAAAATAACATAAAAACCAAATATAATATAAAAAAATAATAAAATAAAATAATAAAAAATGCTAATGTTTTTTATTTGAAAATGAGAACACCGAGGTAAGTCGCAGTGAAGTGATCCGAATTATAGCTAAATTCGTTGTATACCTTACGGGGGGGGTACAACTAGATCTTGTGTTGATAGAAATATTAGGATATATCAAGTTAAAAAAAAAAATAGAATGTTCATTTGGAGTTTTATCAGCGTCATAGTTCTTCAAAATATTGACACGTTGTAAGAGAGATAGAACAAGGAGTGAGCCGATAATATCCATTTTCATACTTGAACTGGCACTGAGAATGCTGACCTTTAGTGGGTTAGATACCAGAAGGAGTGAACCGATATTGCCCATCTCCAAACTCGATCTAAGCTTAATAATAATAATACGACGTACGAAGTTTGGAAATCCGATATACTCTTCGAAAGTTATCGTGCGCACCAACCAGACAGACGGACAATAGATCGACTCCAAATGTCCAAATCGGATTTGTTCCTAAAACCTAAACCTAGGGTGTTATTTCTATAAGGCACATTTTGGACATATAAAATTATATATAGCCTTTGTAGCCATATTGCTAAGGATATAGAAACATAAATACATTATTTTCACTTGTGATATAGAAATTTCGGATGTAATTTTCTTTTTTTTTTTCTCAGATTTATAGTCAAATTATAAAGTTACCTTTATTCATTAACTCAAAAAAAAAAAAACAAGTTAAAAAGCAGTAAGTTCGGCCGGGCCGAATTTGAATACCCTCCACCATTTGGAAAGAATTTGGAAATTTTCAAAAAATTTAATTCTTAAAAAATTCTATTAAAATTTTAAAAATACCGAATATAGCCGTTATATGGGTTTATCATAAGCTATTACCATTTCAAATTCGAAACTTGGAATAAACGGTAAATAATGTAGCTAAAATCATCAAAATACCTTATATAGGGAGGTATCGTTATATCGGAGGTATACGAAGACCTGGGCCTGCATTCTGTCACAGGCTGTAACATCCATTACGAACTTCAAATACGACATCTCTATATCGAAACGTGGACCTATATGGCTCATTTACGAACTTAACCTGTCTACTAGCAAAATAAATATGTGTGCAATATTTTAGCCTTCTACCTCATTTCGTCCGAAAGATAGCGTGATCACAACAGACAGACAGACGGACGGACATCGCTAAATCGACTAAGAATATATACACTTTGTTGAGTCTGACATGAGTATTTCGAGGAGTTACAAACGGAATGACAAAGTTAATATACCCTCCAAAATAGTACGAATTGCGACAAATTTTACTCTAAGAGGCATTTATTTACTACCTAGCCTTTACATTGATATACAAATAAAATTTGTTGAATTTGACAAAAATAAGTTAAAAAGTATCAGTCGGTTTTGCCGACAGATGTATACCCCAGTCAATGTTTGATTATTTAAATATATTTTGGCTTCTGTTATAATTTTTCAAATAGTTGACCCTCATTCGAGTGGGTTCCGAAGGAATGGGCCAATATTGCCCATTTCGTATCGGACCTAAAAAATAATATAAATATTGCGACGTGGCAGGCTTAGACTATATTAGTTACTTCCTTCACTTTATATGATACTCTTCTCGAAGGGAGTATCCGATTTGGTCCAAGTACCTCCCACTCCGTCTCCGTGATGTACGAGTCCGATTGTCTTCAAATTACATACATCACAATATTTTTTTATTAACCCGAGGTCTGGTGTGAAGATGACATATATCAGTCCACTCCTTCTGGTACAACACCCTAACCCCACCTCCGTTTACAGATCGGGCAATAATTGCGACCTGTAGCGTGATTACAAATTAACATGGACAGTTAGATCGACTCAGCTCGGCGAGATAGGAAGATCCATATATATTGCCCTATGCGGGGAACCAATATTTTGGGGTGTTACATAATTTCGGAGGTATCTCCAAAAAAATTAGATTTTATGTGCACACTAGCTGAACCCGGTGCGTTTCCCTACCACTTTTCATTTAATATACATTCGAATGTGTATACGAATATTTTGTGGTTTAAAAAAAAAACAAATTCAAGAATTAAAAAAAACGTATTTATTGTAATACTTTAATGCGTCAACAAATCGCTCGGTCTAGCAACGTGTGAACATGCCAGGAACAGCCGACCATGAGAAAAGCAGGAACATGTCGAATTAAGTCGGAATGCACGAAGAAGTTGTCCTTCGGATTTATTAATTTCATGGCAAATGCCAAACGTACAGGAAACTGCGATCTTTTAAAGTTGAATGGCATTTCTGTTGCAATTAGTGAATTCGATGTAGCAACATACTACCTCTTTGAATGTAGCTCCCATATATATATATATATATATATATATATATATATATATATATATATATATATATATATATATATATATATATATATATATATATATATATATATATATATATATATATATATATATATATATCGGACGTACATATTGGGTGCATCAAATATATGAAATCCGCCGAAAATATATATGTGAGATATATTCAAATCTGAATCGACTTTTGGCAAATTTATTTTTGTTCCAAATTCCGTTATGCATTCCAAATTTGGAGACTGTATCCCTAATCTATCAATAGATATGTGCATATAAAATCTAAATTTTTTGTGAAGTACCCAGTGGAATTTCAAAAATTTATATAGCCTATGTTACTTGAAAATTTGCAGGAACATCTGTTCAGCATCTTGTTATAGATTATTCGGATATTTCAAATAACTGTGATAGAGAGGAGAATTTATGCGATTCTAAAGTTTTTTTCCCCACAGAGAAGGTCTTCGAATTTGGTCCAACACATTTTAACACCGTTTTTGAATAGCTTATTATTTCGAGGCCCCTTAAAAAGTAAAAACCAAGCAATTTAATATTTTTCTTCTTTTCTTATATATATTTTTCCATTATTGATTATTACATTCTTTGAATTAGATTTTCACTCAGGGTTGACTTGTTTTGCAAATCACTTCAAATCACCACTCGAATGCACTCTTTCTTATCAGCTCAGAATAGCTATTAATATTAATAAAAAAAATATAGATTCCATCTTCTAGTGAAGAGTAAGAAGAAGCACCAACTATTTACTTAACAATATCTGCATTTATAAATAACGATGGATGTGTGTCTGTATGTTTGTTTGTGAATGGAACAATGAAATGTTTAAACTAATGGCGATAGCAGGAACTGTTCACAAAATCCATGTGGCATCGACGTGATTCTATGACTGGTCGAAATTTCACCAAACACCTTGACTTTGGATTTATGCTCTGCTGCCTCATTCCAGTAAATAAATTTAAAATTTGAGAACTAAGATTCTCAATATCACACAAAATGTTAAATTAAAGAAAAAACACAATTTATTGCTATCCTCTTGGCTGGTGCTAAACTTCGGGTTTGGTCCATTGGAATTTTTGATCGCAGTACTGCTTGTTGCGCAGGCTGGAGGGCATTTTCTGGGCGCGATCAAACTCACAGGTCTTGTTGTATTTCACCAGGCGTCCCGATCCGCCGGTAGCTGTACGCCAATAGGATGTCTGTGTGGCATTGCGTCCAGCAATGTAGCGGGTGGTGGCACCCACCAAAGTATTGACTTTATTTGCTCCACTCATGCTGATGGTTCAAGGTCGTTGCTTGTATGATCCTTTAATTAAATTTCACGTTCTACTTCGTGGCGGTCTTTGAGTTTCGTCGCCCGACTGCCTTTGGCTCTGACTGCCTTTGTGGTTGCTTTTATTCTGTGCTTCAAATCACCAAATGTGGGACATTTATAAACGTAATTTTTAATCGCTTGCTCAAGCATTTACTCACACCCTTGAATGTCTCAGTCGATTTGTTATTTTTTTCTGCTGCGGGCGCTACTAAGCAAGTACGCCGTAGACACTGATTGGACTATAGTATCTGTAATCAGTCTCTCGGTTCGTGTTCTAGCTCTAGTTTTTTTTCGGTTTGTTTTTGTTTGGACCTTAATGGGTGGCCAGCAAAACGAGGGGAGAGGAAACATGGCGAGGGGTTTGTTTTTGTTTTTATTTTTCTTTCTGTTATCAGCTCTTGTAAAATATGAACTGATTCATGGTATCTATCTGATATCTTCGTAATAAACACAAGTGGGGTATTTTGACCTTAACGTAAACATGGTTGGGAAACTAAGGTAATTTTCCGAAATTTTACAGAAGTACGTTACATATGTACTTTATCTTGTTTACATTTGAACTGGACTATGGACTTTATTACGGGCAGTAATTTGTGATTATGTACTTTTCACCGGGTTTACATATTTCTAACCGTTTCCTTTGAAATCAGCAGTACGACACCAAAGATGGGGGTGTTCAAGAGCGGTTTGAGTTCTGAGGCACAACTCATTGATGTTTAGCCTTTTTGGCTTAAAACCCAATAATTCTGGGGATGCTTATTTCGCTTGAGAGTTTTGTTTTTCGAAATCTTGAACCCTATGTGGAGGAAGTACCAGAAGAAACGGTCCGATCTCTACCATCTTTGTGACAGATCTTGTGTTGATGGAAATATTGAGATGTGCAAAGTCTGAATGGAATCGGATTTTAATTTCGCGTTTTTTGAGCTTCATGGATATTTCTCAAATTACCTAGCACTGATGCAAATATTGAGATTTGCAAAGTTAGAGCATAATCGGATGATTTTTTCTCTTTCTGTGCAGTAAAATATTTTCTTTGAAAAATTCGAACTTTTTTGGGGGAGGTACCAGAAGGAGTGGATCGATATTGTCCATCTCCGAACTCGATCTAAGTTTGATAATAATATTACGATGTACCAAGTTTGGGCCAAATCGGATACTCCCTTCGAGTCATATGGCTGAACAAAATTTATTTACACATAGCAAGTGACGCAAGTAAATCAGAAATCAGAATATTTCGAGTGCATCGTATTTATGAACTTCGAAACGGAGATAGCTCACAGACGTAAGTCCTGTTGATCAGCGGTCAAAATACAAAATAAAAATTTATAAAAACAAAATAAATAAACAAAAAACACATCATACTCAGACAATCAAGTCCGAATGGATGATGTAAGTTCACATCTGATCGCATCTGCTGATGATCTAGCAAAAATGAGTAGTTTCAATATTTTCACTAATCTTTACTTTTCAAAGATTCCCAAGTTCACGTACATGGGTTATTGTTCTTAACCAATTTTGTGAAATTATTTTGTTTTTTCAGAAATAAAAATACTAGCCTTAGCAACAAAGTCGGAAAGAAATGTTTAGGCTCTCTACAAATTAGACAAGAAGATTTTGCCAAAAAAAAATAAATAAATAATAATAATAAAAACAAGTGTCATAGAATATTTTGGAGCTATTAGTTTTTTTTTTTTCGTAGATAATGTCTAGAAGAGATTACTTAATCAGTCCAATCTTAGGAAACACTAAAATTATTATAAGTAAATATTGACACCCTATACTAGTACATATATAGGGGACCTATGCAGTGAAATTGAAATATTTTTGGTAACCTTAGATATAGTGTAACTGTGGTACAGAATTTGTTAATCAAAACTTCATACATCGTTCTAAAATTTCAGATTTTCGATTTCTTATATTTCATTCAAGTTTTTAATTTTTCGAAAAGAATAATAGGAAAAGGTTTACCTTTTACAAAATATTTCATTTTGAAGTTTACCGACGAAGATATTGGTGAAACCATTGAACAATGGACCCATATCTAATTTTTCGGTCCAAAACTATTTCAACGTTTCCATATGAAACCCCTAGAAACCAACAGTGAACTCAATATCAAATTTCAGAATTTCAGCTGTATGCCTTCACCCAATATCAAATAGTAAAATTTAGTACACATATCCAAAACAATCTACATCTCTCCATCGTAGAAACCAACAGTGTTTCAAAATTGGTACCATTTATTACTTTTCTAACAATTAAATTACTCAATTGCAAAACAACCAGCAGTCCTCAACTTCAAATACCAACAGAGACCTCAATATCAAGTTTCGGGATTTTAGCTCCATCCCTGCACCAAATACCAAATTTAATACCGCTTAATTCTTTTCGAACAATTATAGTACGCATTTCCAAAATCACCTTCATATCTTAACCACAAATACCAACGGTGATCTTAATATCAAATTTCGGGATTCCAGCTCTATCGGTTCAAACAAATCCAAATTGTACCAAAATTTAGTACACATAAGTACGAACTTCCAAAACTTCCTACATACCTCAATCCTACACTGCAAATTTCCAAACCTATCTCGATACATACACATCATAAAATCCCAAAGAAATCCTATTTCCAGATTTCAGCTCTATCGGTTTACCCAAAACCAAATAGTACCAAATTTAGTACTATTTAGTACAAATAAGTACAAATTTCCAAAATTACCTCTATATCCCAATCCTACACTCCAACAGTAGTCTTATTTAAAATTTTCAGGATACCATCTCTACCGGCTCACCCAAAAATTTAAAATGTACTAAATTTAGTACCATTTTGTACACATAGTTTTGAATTTCCAAAATTACCTACATACCTCAGTTCTACAATGCAATTGTAATCTTACTTACAAATTTCAGCATTCGAACTCTATCGGTCCAAAATTATACCCAATTTAGTACTTTTCGTGCACATCAGTACAAATTTCGAATTCCAAATTTCCATATCCCAATGCTACAATCCGCCAGTAATGTTGATTTCAAATGTTAGGATTCCAGCTTCATCCGTTCCTCCAAATTCGAATTGTACGAAATGTAGTACCGTTTAGTACTTGGTATACATGAGCACACAAATCCAAAACTACCTCCTTACATCGAACTTAACTCTCAATCAAGATTCCCATTCCAAATTATTAGCTCTGACGGTTCACATGATACGAAATGGTACAAAATGTAGTAAATTTTAGTACTTTTCGTACACTTTTAGTGCGAGTTTCCTAAAACCCTTTGGTACATATATCCTCATTCTAAATTTAAGAGTACTATCTCTACTGCTTCCTCAAAAACAAAGGGTACCATATTTAATACATCTTTAATACTTTTCGTACCGTTCTAGTAAGAATTTCCAAAGCGTAGCTTTATCTGACCTCTTCGGACTAAGAGTGACCCTCAACCAAAAGTTTATGTTTAAGACTCTTGCCTCAGCTGTTTCGTCTGGGCGTTGATGAATCGTTAAGTCAGTCAGTCAATTAATTTGAAGCCTTCCGATTTAATCAGTAATTTAAATATAGCACCATTCAGTACTTTTCGTACAGTTATAGTACACAGTTCCGAAACCACCTCTATATGTCCACAATTTGCTTACCCAGTAACAAATAGTACTAAATATAGTACTATTTAGTACTTTACGTACATTTTTACATTTTTCGTACATATTTCCAATACCGCTTTTTTATCACAAATCTAGTACCAACAGGGCATCCTATTCGACATTTTTAAATTCCAGCTCATCCTTTTACCCTAAACCAAACTTTTCAAATTTAGTACCATATAGTACAGTTCGTACATTTAGTACATATTTCCAAAAATCACTTTCATATATTGAGCTTACTTTCCAACCTTTATTCTCATGCCAAAATTCAATGCATTCACATAATACCAAATGGTACTATTTTAGAACTTTTCGTAACCTTAAAGTTCGTATTTGTAGAAACCATTTGGTATATGTATCCTACACTGCATCAGTGACTTTCATTTCAAATTTCAGCTCATTTCAAGTCTAGCTCATTCTGTTATACGAAGTATGTTATACAAAGTATTCGATTTTTATTACATTTTCGTAATTTTCGTGCCCTTTTAGTACGTATTTCCAAAAACCCAGCCTTATTTCGATGATTTTTGCAGCATTTTTAACACGGATTTGTCTAAAATTGGTATTTGTAGTTCATAATGGGTTCTAGCTCCGGTGGCAGAACATTCAATATTTAGGTCCACGTTTTCCTGTAGCGCACATATTACGATACCCCCCGATATTCGGTATTTTGATAATCCCAGTCACATTTACCCACGAATTTTTTTTAAATTTGGTATTTTAAAAGATTTGGTAGATGATAATCTTCGAAATATAAAATTGTCTATAGAGGTTCCCATTTTGGTATGGCCCCCATATAAAGGTCTCACCCACTTTATGGTTTTTTGAAAAGTTTAACAGTATTATTCAAACGGTCTTACAGGTATTTGTAGTTCAAAGCGGAACACGTTTGAATTCAGATAATTTATTTGAAAATGTTATTTTTTGCCCAAAGGTGGAAGATATTAAAAATTCGGGCCAGCCGAACTTAATGTTTTTCACTTGTTTTTGTATATAGATGTTGGCGATTTGGTGAACGTTTCGCAAGCCTCTTCCAGACATATAGACTGTAATTCGGCAGTTTCAACTTTTGTTGGATGAAAATTCAGCCAAATGATATAGTTTCACTATCATTCCTCAGTTTGACATTGTGGTACTATTTGGTACAAAGCATTTTTACAGGTTTTCAAAATTTGCCACCCAGAAATATTAATTGTTTTCGAACTTTTCTATATCAGTTTACGTTTTAACATAAGCCCCAAACTGAGGCACCGATTTCAATTTTTTGGAAGTCCAATCCGCGTTTTCCAGCCAAAATGTTATTGTTTTTAGTAAATTTTGTGAAATTATTTTGTTTTCACACAAACAACAAATACTATCCTTAGCAACAAACTTGGAAATTTTTTTCGACTGTCCACAAATCAGAGAAGAATATTCTGAAAAAAAAAAAAAAAATAAATAAATAAATAAAT